AAAAAAAAACCATCCGCGCTTATCTTGAAGTCAAAAGCACGTCGTCCACCTCTGCGAGGATTTGATGTGCTGTTGTCCCGAAAGCAGCCTCGCGCACTTGTTAAAATACGCGTCTGGAGTTGCAAAAAAAGAAAAAATGTTTGGTCACGTCAACAAAGATAAGCAAAGACAAACAGTTGGAAGGGAAACGGCCTGACAACAGAATATAAATATACAATACTCGGGGCGAAGCGGCGTGGGAAAGGTCAGCGTGGGAACTGGGCCTCGTTGTTTCGCCAATGACTTTGGGAAAGCGCGTCCGACTCCAAAGGCCCGCGTGGCGGCCGTGCCGCTTGCTCATTGTTCTCCCGCTTCCTCCCGCCCGACTTTTCGGCCTCCTTCGCCGAGCGCCCGCTCACGTTTTTCCCCGGAAGGAGTGTCGGCCCGCGCTCGGGGCGGGGGTGGGGAGGCGGTTCCCACGCTCTCGCCGGCCTTCCTGAGCGCTGCTTAGCGCTAGCAACGGCTAATTTCGGCTCGCTCCCGCTGGGCTCGGCCATTGTCTCGCGTGGGAACCGGCGGGGCTTTTCTCACACGCTCGCGTGGAGGTCGAGGTTAGCAGTTTCCATGAGCGGGCTGGAAAAGGCCTACATCCAAAATCCCAAACCATCCTAACCCAAGCATAGACAAACAAGCATGAACGCTCACAGCTTGTTTCGTCACCAATAACCCTAAAATGGGTGCTTTTTGTCGGTGCGAGGAAAAAAATCTCCCACAAAAAGACCACGGCTGGATTGAAATCCCCTGAGTGTGCTACATACGCGCTAACCACTACCACACCGTGCTGCTGCCGTTTTGAAACATTCAAAGCGTCGTCGGTGCCCACAGCTGAACAGTAATAGCTTACACTTGAATAATTGAATAACATGACTTTTTTTTTTCTTGTGTAATCTCATGAATAAATCACCCGCTGTAGTCTCTTCATGGATTCCTTTGAAGCCAACACAGAATTTTGTCTCACAATTTGGCAGCCTTACATAATCCGCTCCACTCGTGTGTGGAGCAAATCCAATCCCAGGACCAGAACGGGACTTCAACCAAGTATCTGCGTACCCGGCACATCATTTTGTTATCCTTTTCACTTTTAAAAAAATTATTAAAAATAATAGAACCCGTGCTGCACATTCGTGTGTGTGTGTGTGTGTGAGTATGGTGTCCGGTATTCTTTATCCTCTGCAAAAAACAAAAAATAAATCCCCCCTACCCAAAAACCTCATGTACTGTACTTCATGCCCACGGATATTTTGGATTGGACTAATAATTGCCCCCTCGTGGGTGAAGCCAGAAGGCGGCACTTCAACCAAGTCATCTGCGTACCCGGCACATCATTTTGTTATCCTTTTCACTTTTAAAAAAATTATTAAAAATAATAGAACCCGTGCTGCACATTCGTGTGTGTGTGTGTGTGTGTGAGTATGGTGTCCGGTATTCTTTATCCTCTGCAAAAAACAAAAAATAAATCCCCCCTACCCAAAAACCTCATGTACTGTACTTCATGCCCACGGATATTTTGGATTGGACTAATAATTGCCCCCTCGTGGGTGAAGCCAGAAGGCGGCATCTTATGTTGCCTCTGTGATATTGACAACTTCTGTTCTTTTCCTTTTTTTACTGGAAACACTGTTATGAGTGAGTGTTTTACGGGATATTGAGGGCCTCTCGAAGAGCAAATTTTACTGTTTGCATCCAACGTCCAGACGACATTATCTCAGTATTGTGTTGTAGGTTCAAATTTCGCGGCAAATTTTGCCTAGATGGGCTTTGCTTACATTTCATTTAATCTATATTATTTCCTCAATGTATTTCGTCTTATCTTAACTTTGTTGACACGCCTCCGCGGGGCAATTGTGAGCTGTATTGTCACAATCTGTGGCCCTCGAATATGCATGTTTGCCCTCAGCAGCCAGCCCCGTCAGGCGAGCAGCAGCGGCATCACTAACGTGCCAGGATCAAGTAGCCGGGCCTGCTATCTTGTTACTGATCAGGTAATCTGTTTGGCGCAAGCACTCTTTTCCATTCCACCTTACATAACGGTGCCGCTATGTTCGGTTGTTTGGGCCCCTGGACAATTTGCAAGGGACGTCTCAAGCTAAAAGGAGATTCTGTTCTCTTTTTGGAGGCAGATGGGGAAAACCACCTGATGGCCCAAAAGAGGTGCTTTACTCGAAAAGCCTCTTGGTCTAAACGTGTAAGTTGCTCAACAAAAATAGTCGAGGGTCTGTAGGCGCAACGCCTTGAGCAGCAGCCGGGAAGCTAATCCTGGCACGTACAGATTTAGGGCGTAAAAGAGCTGCGCATATGTAGGTCGATCCCTCCGGGGCAAAGCAAACTCACAGGAAGAATACACGCGCTATAGCATGTTATGAATGCAAGTATGAGGCTGCGTGTCTGCACACCCACACCCACACACACACACACACACACACACACACACACACACACACACACGAGTGGAACTTGAAGCAATGTGACTTGCAGTTGAGGCTACAAATCGAAGCAAAAGTTTCATTGTACAACATTCTCATGTGATGCCTTAAAAACATGTTTGGGAGCTAAAACAGGGAGGGTCCCGTTTTGAAGCGAGGCCTTAAAATAGATGTATTTATTTATTTGTTGATGTATTTCATGGGGCAGGGAAAGAAGCAGGGTTTCTCTCGGCCCGTGGACTATAAATTGAAAAGGAAATCTGAGAAAAATCATAAAACTTGATAAGTAACACGTACAAGGATGATCGTGATCGCAAAGAAAAATCCGACACATTATCGCATCAAACACCACAGAGAAGAGCTTTGCGAACAAACTTCTCCATTTTGAACGATCAAAACAAATAAATCAGCCAGTATATGAAATGAGGCTTCGGAATCGTGAAAAATCTCAAGTCCGTTGAAACCACACCCAGCTGAACCGCCAACTGTCAATCAAATAGTATTTTCTACGACCTGGAACAAATGGATGCATCTCCATCTCGCATCTTTGTCGTGCCAACAGATAATTTGATAGCATGATAAAGCTGCAAGAATAGACACGATAGTTGGAATGTATCGCCCCCCCCCCCCCGGGTTATCTCCACCATGCCGTGACAACGAGGCACTCTACAAGCGCCATGTCAGTGCAAAGCCCATGTCCACACACTAGCTGTCACGTCAGACTTTTTTTTTTTTTTTTTTTCTGGGATGTGCATGCACTCATGGCTGACAACGAGGTGCTCTAAATTGGCCACGCCAGCGGACAGATTAAAACGTAGCACTGTTCTTGTTTGCCATAATGGACGTGTGTGTTTTGGACTATTGCAATGTTTGTAACGGCACATCATTCATTTCATCATTCTATGACATCATACGTCAGCGGCAACACGAGCCTGGTGAAATGGTCTTCACGCGTCCGATTTTGTCCACATTGCAAGCCACGATGAAGCCGGTGGCACATTTGAAAAGCAGACGTTTTATCATTCTGAAAATATACAGATTGTGAAATAAATGCCAAAAGTGAGCATGACTATCCTTTGTCAAACGGAAGCAAATCTCGTTGCGTGTGACTGAAATTGTCCTTCACTTTGGAAAGGGAATCTCCCAGATGGAGCTCAGCCGAGACTACCAATTTTTTGGCAACGTCAAAGATTTCGACAATCATCCGTAATGGCAATAAAATCACAGCAGAGTTTGAGGGCCAACAAATTGAAAGATGATTGTAAACGGCTTCGGGCGTGGCACATCCTAAATTGATGACAGTTGGCTTCGCTGGCGGCCATGGGCGGCGGCC